GTAAGTATTTATTCCTCAGAGACAGGATTTATAAGGAGCCAGAAAACCTGGCCCAAGACCGTTACATTATAATGATAAATACAAAAGTAATATGTGCTTTTGGTAACGAATTAAACAGTAGAAAGATTCATAAAGAAATATGCATAACACCCCTTCTCCCCAAAGCCACCTTTCTTTGGCAACGGACGACAGAAATTTACTGTGAATCTTTCCACTTCTGTGTGCATATAAACACATATAAAGACATACATATCATGTAGAACAGTTTGTTTTAAATTCACACCGCATATATTATCCTTAATTTGCTTTTTTTTCACTTAACACATTATGTATAGCTCTGCAAGTTCTTATATATAGCTCTAGCTCATTATTTTTAATAATAGCATAATATTCTTAAATTATTAGCCCTGTATTTTTTTTTGTTTTTAAATTTTTTAAATGTTTACTTATTTTTGACAGAGAGAGAGAGACACACACACACACATAAAGTGTGAGTGGGGGAGGGGCAGAGAGAGGGGGAGACACAGAACCTGAAGCAGGCTCCAGGCTCTGAACTGTCAGCACAGAGCCCAATGCGGGGCTCGAATGTGTGAACCATGAGATCATGACCTTTTGCTGAAGTCGGAGGCTTAACCGACTGAGCCACCCAGGTGCCTTGTCCTCCCACTATTTTTAAAAAATGTTTATTTATTTTGAGAGACAGGTCAGGGAGGGGGGTGCAGAGAGAGAGGAGAGAATCCCAAGCAGGCTCCACAATATTAGTGCAGAGCCTGGCATGGGGTTTGATCTGTGAGATCTGAGCCAAAATCAAGAGTCAGACGCTCAACCAACTGAGCCACCCAGGCACACCCAGCCCTCTCTCTATTGGTGGGCATTCAGGCTATTCCTTTTTTTTTTCCTTTTAAGAATCACTACAAACAATGCTGCAATAGATATTATTGTGCAGGTAAATTCACACCAGTGCATTTATTTCTGTAGTATCTTTTGGTCAAAGGACATGTGATGTATGCTATTAATTTTAATAGTTATTTTCCCAAAAGCTTGTAGCAATTACGCTTCTGCCCCTTCCCCAAATTCTTGCCTGCCCTGGATGTTAACAATCTTTTTACATTTTCCAATCTGAGGATGAAAAATGGTATTGCTTACCTGTTTTCTCTTGTCCTCATTTCTAGTCTATTCTCCATTTTGCAAATAGAGTAATTAACACATTTTTAAAAAATGTTTATTTATTTTTGAGAGAGAGCGAGAGAGAGCAGGGTAGGGGCAGAGAGAGGGAGACACAGAATCTGAAGCAGGCTCCAGGCTCTGAGCTGTCAGCACAGAGCCCAATGTGGAGATTGAACTCACAAGTGATGAGATCACCACCTGAGTTGAAGTTGGATGCTCAACTTACCGGGCCACCCAGACACCCCTAGAGTAATGTTTTTTTAAATCAAAATCTTACCATGTCACCTTTCTGCTTAAAATACATCATTTATGTCCCTTCACTCTTTTTTTTAATTTTTTTTTTAACGTTTATTTATTTTTGAGACAGAGAGAGACAGAGCATGAACGGGGAAGGGTCAGAGAGAGAGAGGGAGACACAGAATCTGAAACAGGCTCCAGGCTCTGAGCTGTCAGCACAGAGCCCGACGTGGGACTTGAACTCACGAACTGCGAGATCATGACCTGAACCGAAGTCGGACGCTTAACCGACTGAGCCACCCAGGCGCCCCTATGTCCCTTCACTCTTAGAACAAAGGGCAAAATCCTTAACATGGCCCAAAGCATCTTGTGGTCTAATAGTCTTTCTGTCTCTATGGTGGGCTTGTCTCCCAACAGGAAGGACTTTTCTATGGATTGTTCTCAACTCTACTGAGAAATCAAGGTGACACATTAGGTTGTTTCCTGGTACAAGCCTCCCAGGGAGTTTTTAAAATGTGACTAACTAATGCCTAAAAGGAATCATTATTTCTATTTTATTTGCCTTGATGGAGGTGTTTTTGCAGTTGCTTGGGGCAGATCATTTAGGGTAAACAGGTAAGCACAGCACTTGTCAAAAAAACATGTTAGGGCGACACCCCGGCTCCTGAAGAACAGGCAGAAAGTCTGATCGTAAACGTAGGGGGTTTTTGCTTCTCTTGTTTTTAAGTTGGACTTTTAAAAGTAGAGGCTGCCTTTAATGTGTTGGTTTGCGGAACAAGAGATCTGATTTTCAGCGTGATAACGCATTTTTTGACATTAACCACTGTTGGATTTTTAATGACACTTTTATCTTCAAAGCCCTTCACCAACACGGATGGATTAATTATTCTCTCTCTCTTTTTTTTTTTTTTTTGGTTGTGTGTTAAAAAGACAAGTCTTCAAAGCCATCATCCTTGATCCTTGGAGTTGGGGATCTCCACCTTTCAAATGTTGCTTTCCTGCCCCCAAGGGAGAAAATAAATTGCATCTTTGTTTCTTAAGACAAAAAGAAGAACACAATAGAAATACATTCTTTGCACTATGGAAAAATGTTCTTCTATCCTGGGTGGGATTAGAAGAGGTCGGGAAGCAGTGTTTAACCTGTGTTTACAGTAAGCACTGTGAGAAATAACTGGCTGAAAGTGTTTGTTACTGTTCAACCTTTTGATGTGCTCTTAAAAAGTAGCACAAATCCATAAAACGCCTCGCGATCAACATAAGCGGGAACACAACATTGGAATCCATCTACTCGTTGCTAAGGTATAGTCCTTTCCTCTTCTCTTCAAAACATGTCTAACTGGGCTTTTAAAAGATTTGGTTTTGGAGAAGAAAACCCTCAAGCCTGCCCGGAGGTCCTCCTTTGCTGGACACATCTTACAACCACAAGGGAGCAGTCTTTCCTTTGATGAGGTCTTCCCTCCACCTCCACAGAAATGGCAGAACAAGCGTAAGTTTGCACACCGTCTGAAAGAGATTTCCATTAGCCCTGGACGCCGGAAACCGCAAAGGACAGTCAAGTTTTGATTTTCAAGGGGAAAGCCTTCGCTAAACTTTCGCTCAGCCGCCAGACCTGTTGGTTCCTGGGAGGGGCTCTTTGGAAACCTCGAAGATTCCTACACTCTCGAAGACCCAGAGCGGTGGATTACGGTAATTGAAAAGCTTGGGTGGTTTTGAAAGATTACTCTGTGTGGTGTGCGCTCACATTTCCAGGCTAAGGGGACCGAGCAGAGGAACCCCTTTTGTCACCTTTTGAAATAAGATCAGAGGGGAAGACAGGATCTGAAGTATGGATTAGGAGGTCCTAAATCTTTGCTTATCCCCTCCGCCTGGATCATTATAAATGATCGAGTAGTGCAACGAATTTAGGAAATCATGCAAAGTTTCCTTGCAGTCTGTCCTGGAACCAGAAATTAAAAGCCCGGCTGTGCCAGGCTGTCTGAATGGACCAGCACCTACGCTTTGAAGATCTGAAGTCTCGTCTTGCAAGAGATCGGTCTCTGGGGTGATTTGTTTGCTTCCCGGCGAGGGATGGAGAAACGTAAGCCGGCCGGACTGCTGCCCCTGCGGTCGTGCCACCTCCGCGGCGAGCCCCTGGACCTGCCGGGGTCCCTGCCCCGCCTCCCCCTCGGGGACCCCTTCAGGGTCTCGTGGCGTCTCGACGCCGCGTGCTGGGAGCGGGCGCCCCGGGACTGCGCCGCGAGGCGGTCGTGCCCGCCGCTGCCGCTGGACCGCGCCTTCGAGCCCGCCTTCCTCCGCAGGCGCAACGAGCGCGAGCGGCAGCGGGTACGCTGCGTGAACGAGGGGTACGCGCGCCTGCGAGACCACCTGCCCCGCGAGCTGGCCGACCGGCGGCTCAGCAAGGTGGAGACGCTCCGCGCCGCCATCGGCTACATCAAGCACCTCCAGGAGCTGCTGGAGCGCCACGCCCGGGGGCAGGAGGGCCCCGCCGGCACCCGTCCCCCGCGCGCCGCCGAGTGCAACAGCGACGGCGAGTCCAAGGCCTCGTCGGCGCCCTCGCCCTGCAGCGAGCCCGAGGAGGCGGGCAGCTAGCGCGCGCCCGGGCCCTCCGCGCCCGCTGCAGCCTTGGAGCCCCTGCAAGGGTGGTTTGCATTTTTTGAGCTGGTTTTTTAATCCAGGGCTAAATTTTAGGAAAAAGAAATGCGAGTCTTCCGGCGGGGAACGTGTCTTCTGACCTTTCTGGCTGCCCCCCCCCCCCCCCCCCCCCCGACCCAGGCCCCAACTGGGTATGTGCCTGCAGACTTAAAGGTGCTTATTAAGGAAACTCTCCAACGGTACTTCTCAAATGCACACTGTACCGGATCCTGAGCACCTCACTCTAAAAACTCAGGAGGGCGATTGGAATTTCCCAGTCAGCGCCGTGGGTACGTTATGCACATAAATATTGACTTCAAGCCAACCTTCACCGAAGAACTTCCCAAAAATGAATAAATAAAAGACAGCCCTTAAGACGAAAGGAACGTTTTTCCTGCATTCCTTCCTTGGGGAGTTGTATTTGAGATTTAATTGACACGGTCACTTTGGGTGAAGGGGACGCCAAGCCGGCACTTGAGCACCCACACAGAGCCCGCTGCTAGCCCAGCGCAGGCTGCGGAGCGAGTTCTTGCCTGGCGGTGGTGCGGTCCACGTGCTGAATTTGATACTTCCGGTTTTATCAGAAAGTGGCCATCTGGGGGGCGCCTGGATGGCTCGGTCGGTTGAGCGTCCGACTTCCGCTCGGGTCATGATCTCACGGTTCGTGGGTTCGAGCCCAGCGTCCCGCTCTGTGCTGACAGCTCAGAGCCTGGAGCCTGTTTCTGATTCTGTGTCTCCCTCTCTCTCTGTCCCTACCCTGCTTGTGCTCTGTCTCTCTCTGTCTCAAAAGTAAATAAACATTAAAAAAAAAGTTTCTTTTTAAAGTGGCCGTTTGGAAACTTCGTAGTATTTAGGCAATAGTAACATATGTTAGTGCGCTAGAACTCAGATTTGTATAAAAACTTATTTTCCTCTCCGTTGTTTTTGTCCACTGGTTTTTCATTTTCCTTTTTCCCCTCCCCACTTCTCACTCCACCTAACCTTTGGTTAAATTAAAGTGACATCCCTGGCTTTATTAAAGAAAAAAAAGAAATGCATAGGTGGTGGAACAGGATGGACTGAAGTTGGTATGTTCTCAGACTTTCATCCCCATGAGGGCTTCTAGATGTACTGGAATTACCCAGCGACTTTGGCTTTGTTCTCAAAAGTCTTTGAAGAACATTTAATTCTGGTCATTTTTGTCTTAGAAACTATTATGATTTAAGTAGATATGTCAAGTGCTTGTTCACCTACGAAGATAAACTTCCTCTCTCTAAAGCTGTTTTTTTTTAAGTTTATTTATTTATTTTGAGAGAGAGAGAGAGAGAGAGAACGAGCAGGGGAGGGGCAGAGACAGAGAGAGAGGCGGACAGAGGATTGGAAGCGGGCTCTGTGCTGACAGCTCATAAACTGATGCAAGACTCGAACTCATAAACTGATGCAAGGCTCGAATTCACGAACTGGTAGATCATGACCTGCCCTGAAACCAAGAGTTGGACGCTTAACCAACTGAGCCACCTAGGTGCCCCTCTAAAGCTCTTTTCTAATAACTTGGATTGACCTTTCCACAGAGGCAGTCCTGTATGGTGGTGGGGAGTGGCGCCAGGACACAGGAAGGAGAGAAAACTCTCCTATGATTTCATCCCCCACACTGGCTCATGAGGTAGGCCAGATGTATCAACTTTTTACAGATGTATCAACTGAGAGAAGTTAATGTTCAATGAGTATCTTTTATGTGCCAGGAATTTTTGTGTGTGTGCTTTTTACATGTTGTTCTTTTAAATTCTTATAAATCTGGGGGTGGATGTTACACATATTTTGTGGTTAAAAATAATGAGGGGCGCCTGGGTAGCTCAGTCTGTTAAGCGTCGGACTCTTGATTTTGCCTCAAGGGCATGATCTCACAGGTCCTGAGATTTGAGTCCCAGGTTGAGCTCTGTGCTGACAGCATGGAGCCTGCCTGGGATTCTCTCTCTTCCTCTCTCTCTTTCCTTCTCTGCCCCTTCTCTCTCTCAAAATATATAATAAAGGTTTTTGTTGTTGTTTGTTTGTTTGTTTTTAATGAGGCCTTGTCCAGGTTTGTGTTGCCATGGTTAGTTGAGCTGTGACTCAATGCTGAGTTTGTCTGACCCTAAAGCCCAGGCTTGCTGTGTCCCTTTCTATACCCTCCCTTGCTCCCTCCTTTGCTAGCTGAGTGACAGAGCAAACATTTCTTAACCTGTGAGCAACTCAGTTTCCTCTTCTGTATTGTTTCACAGGAGAAGGTATAGAATACCTTGGTAGTCTGCAAGGTACTAATCAATGGTAAGTTAGTAGTGTATCATCTTTTGGAGAAAACACTATTACTCAGTTCTATGGAGAGTAAAGCCTGACCAAAAATGATCTCTAGGTGGGGGCTCCCGGGTGGCTCAGTTAAGTGTCCAACTTCGGCTCAGGTCATGATCTCACGGTTCATGAGTTCAAGCCCTGTGTCTGGCTGTGTGCTGACAGCTCAGAGCCTGGAGCCTGCTTCAGATTCTGTGTCTCCTTCTCTCTCTGCTCATGCTCTGTCCATCTGTCTGTCTGTCTGTCTCTCTCTCTTAAAAATTAACATTTAAAAAATTAAAAAAAAATTTTTTTTAACGTTTATTCATTTCTGAGAGACAGAGACAGAGCATGAGCAGGGAAGGGAGAGGGAGACACAGAATCTAAAGCAGGCTCCAGGCTCGGAGCTGTCAGCACAGAGCCCGACGCGGGGCTCAAACTCATGAACTGCGAGATCATGACCCAAGGTGAAGTTGGACGCTCAACCAACTGAGCCACCCAGGCGCCCCTAAAAAAATTTTTTTTTCAATGATCTCTAGGTGGAATTAGTGTGGTTTCTTCAGTGTGTCAGAAAGAGGACAGAGTAACCACATTGTATTAGGATTTTACCTTCTATTGCAAGGTTCCAGGGGACAAGACTTGACCTGTGGAAACTGAATCCATGTTAAAACATGTAATTACTAGTATTTGTAACAATGGGTTATAGTGGTGTCTGTGTTTCTGGCTGCACAGATAAATGCTATGCAGTGATTCACAACAAATCTTTACTTTTTCTTTAAAAAATTTTTTTCAATGTTTATCTTCGAGAGATAGAGAGAGAGACAAAGTACAAGTGGGGGAGGGAGAGAGAGGGAGGGAGACACAGAATCTGAAGCAGGCTCCAGGCTCCGAGCTGTCAGCACAGAGCCCGATGTGGGGCTCAAACTCATGAACTGTGAGATCATGACCCGAGCTGAAGTCGGATGCTCAATGGACTGAGCCATCCAGGTGCCCCACTTTACTTTTTCTTAAGAACCACATGGAGTCTTTTAGTTTGAAGGATCAAGATGTAACCCTGCTCTTACCCATTACTTAGTTACAGCCTCTCAACACCTGTAATATATCCATTTTGGTCTCCAGGCAGGTTCTTATTCTATATAAAGGTTTCAGTGAAGCAAGACCAAATGAGATATATTTACTACTGGGAGGGGGGAGGGAGTTGGAAAACTTCCTGGCTTAATTGGGGGAACAGCTATTTAACCAAGTTGTTCATAACCTTGAGAAACTTCTTAGGGGTCTTCGATGAGCAGTAATAACACTCTCCATTCCTTTATTCTGCTCTAGCCACGATCAGCATCTTGACATTCTCTTTTCTACAGTAGGAATAATAACAATAAAAGAGTATGTTTTGTTTAATCTGGATACTGTGGTTGCTTTTAAATGTGGGAAAATGAAATAAAGATTTTTCTTCATTCACATCTCTAAAATAAATGTGTAAAATGTGTGAATAAATATAATATACCTTGCTGAGATGAGCGGTTTATAAAGAAAAGGACAAAGGCAGTTTTAAAGGAGAACTTTATTGTGGATAAAAATGCCTCGAGAGATTTTTAATGTGGTTTTGTTCAAAGCCCTACTGAGAATAAGGCAATGACTTTGAGAAGCCTTTTGGGGGGAAAAAAAAAGCAATAAAATTCCATCAAAATCATAAAACTTTTTTTAGAGCAAAAAAATCAGGCCATTTTTCTGGAACCTTCCTGATGACTTATAGGAGGAGCACTAATACAGGAATGAGACCTTTAATTTTTTTTGAATGTTTATTTATTTTTGAATGTTTATTTATTTTGAAGGCTCCAGCTTGGAGCCTGGAGCCTGCTTCTGATTCTGTGTCTCTCTCTCT